CATTCATTCATTCATTCATTCATTCATTCATTCATTCATTCATTCATTCATTCATTCATTCATTCATTCATTCATTCATTCATTCATTCATTCATTCATTCATTCATTCATTCATTCATTCATTTATTCATTCATTCATTCATTCATTTATTCATTCATTTATTTATTTATTCATTCATTCATTCATTCATTCATTCATTCATTCATTCATTCATTCATTCATTCATTCATTCATTTAGGTTTCTTACAAATCTTCAAAGTGGAACGCTGAAGTTCAGGACAGCGAGAAGATAATTTTTCAAGTCCACAGTGACGCTCATTATCCTAACGATGTATGTATGTGTATGTGTATGTGTGTGTGTGTGTGTATGAATGTATGTGTATGTGTGTGTGTATGTATGTTTGTATGTTTTGTATGTATGTATGTATGTATGGATGGATGCATGTATGTATGTGTATGTGTGTGTGTGTGTATGTATGTATGAATGTGTGTGTGTGTGTGTATGTAAGCATGTATGTGTGTATATGTACGTATTTAAATATGCTATATTATTATTATTGTTAAATTTCTCACAGAATCAAAATAATTAAAAATCGTTATCTCATGATCGCGATATTCAGTAGTCACAACTGTGTCATCATCATCATCACCGTCATCATCATCGTCGTCATCGTCATCATCATCATGATTACAGCCACCTGGTTGGATGTTGGTGCAAGTCATGAAGAGGCAGGCAAAAAAGTTGAAGATGGTCGAAACGTCTGAAGCCTATAGCGATGAGTCCAATGATGGAGTGAGTGATTTAACGAATGAATAAATGAATGAATGATTTACGAACAAACGAACGAACGAACGAACGAACAAACGAACGAACGAACCAATGAAAGAATGATAGATGGAAGGAGACCCTACACCTTCCTATTTATAACCATCATCATTATAACCACCATCATCATCATTATCATCATCACTATAACCACCATCATCATCATTATCATCATCACTATAACCACCACCACCATCATCATCATCATCATCATCTTGACATAGTTTCAGTCCAACTTCGTCCATCTGATGTTCAACAATGTGGGGTCATACATCAAAGAAGGCATAAAGGAATCCCAATCTGACATTATTTCCACCCTTTTTGAGGTCTTCACGGTGACGAACTTCCTACTCGTAACTAGACCATCGTCTGGAGGATGATGACGATGACGATGATTTGGTTTTTGTTGTCTTTTCTGCTGTTGGTGTTTTGTTGTTGTCTCAGTTGTTGTGGGTTTTTTAAGTATGATGTTGTTGCGGTTGTTATGACGATAATGATAAGAGTTTGTGTAGTTTGGTGATGAAGACGACAATGATGATGATGAAGAGCTTGTGGTGATAATGATGATGAAGAAGAAGTTGTGGTGATGATGATGATGATGAAGAGGTTGTGGTGATGATAATGATGATGATGATGAAGAGGTTGTGGTGATGATAATGATGATGAAGAGCTTGTGGGGATGATAATGATGATGAAGAGCTTGTGGCGGTGATGATGATGGTGACTGTGTTTGTGCTGGCGACTAATTCGTTTCGGAGAGTGGATGGTGAATAGAAGGATGCTAGAATACTGATGATGATGTGATATTGAGGACAGGATTTATTATAATTTTATCATTATTTAAATTGTTATTATCATAATTATTATTATCATAATTATTATTATCATAATTTTTTTTGACGTTAATATTACTGGAATAAAATCATCAAAAAGAT